GATGGGATGGGATGGGGATGGGATGGGGATGGGGATGGGATGAAACATTCCAACCGTGGCGGCCAGAGTGGAAAATACCCCCTTTTTTAGCCATTTCTACCCCCCAAAAAAAATAAGGAGATGCCACCGGTGCGATGCCCCGTGGTTGATCCAGCCAGGACCCACCGAGGAGATCTGGCAGCCCAACTTTCTCCCCAAAGAGCCCCCCCCACCCTTTTCCTCTGGGAATGGGTGGGTCCAGTGGGATGAAAGTACTGGGATGTGGGTACCAGAAGGATGGAGGTACCAGGTGTGGAGGTACTGGAATACCCCCTCGGGGGGGGTACCAGCTGGGGAGGGGGGGGTCCAGTGGGATCTACGGGGGCTGTAAATAACCCACACGCTGGTGGCAGCAGCTCGGGTGCCCTCGGGAGGGCTCAGCCCAAATTGGGAGCCCCAAAGCAGCCAGGGGATGTCCTGGGGGTCTCCTACCCCACAAAGATGGGTCCGGAGCTGGGAATGGGGAGATGGGATGCCTGGGGGTGGAGAACCCTCCTCAGTGCTGGGAATGGGTCTGAGGAGGTGTTTAAGGCCATGAGGGAGAACGCAGCGGGGGCACACCACTGCTGGGAGAGGAAATGAGGAGCAACACATGTTTGAAGCACCCCAGGGTTCCTCTGAATGGAGTTTCTGAGTTGGGGTGACTGGAAGTCGAGCTCTGACCTGGCTCCTGCTGGAGATAAAGGCAAAACTACCACGGGCTCGAGTCATACATGCTCATGGAATCACAGAATCACATGGGGTTGGAAGGGACCTCTGGAGATCATCTCCTTCAACCCCCTGCCAGAGCAGGGCCACCCAGAGCAGGTCCCACAGGAACGTGTCCAGGTGGGGGTTGAATGTCTCCAGAGAAGGAGACTCCACCACCTCTCTGGGCAGCCTCTGCCAGGGCTCTGCCACCCTCCAAATGAAGAAGTTCCTCCTCATGTTTAGGTGGAACTTCTTATGTTGAAGTTTGTGCCCATTTCCTCTTGTCCTGTCCCTGGGCACCACTGGAAAAAGCCTGGCCCCATCCTCCTGACACCCACCCTTGAAGGATTTAGAGGTGTTGATCAGATCCCCCCTCAGCCTTCTCTTCTCCAGACTAAAAAGACCCAAGTCCCTCAGCCTTTCCTCAGCAGAGAGATGCTCCAGGCCCCTCAGCATCTTTGCTGTCCCCTCTCCAGCAGTTCCCTGTCCTTCTGGAACTGGGGAGCCCACAACTGGTCCCAGTGCTCCAGCTGGGGCCTCCCCAGGGCAGAGCAGAGGGGCAGGATGACCTCCCTCCACCTGCTGCTCCCACTCTTCCTGATGCCCCCCAGGATGCCCTTGGCCTTCTTGGCCACCAGGGCCCATTGCTGGCTCCTGGGCATCCTGTTGTCCACCAGGACCCCCAGGTTGCTCAAAGGCTGAAGAGTTGGAAAAGCTTCTGGAGTTGTCGCTGCGCGTTATCGCCCTGTTTGAGACACCCAAAGCTTTGCAAAGCTGTTGGGAATAATAAAAAGCTAAAACCTTGTATGTTTTGTTAAGCATTTGGCAGCCCTTAATAATAAAAAGAACCAACCCCATCCCAACTCTCATCTATTCCAGCGGGTTTTCCGACGTAAAGCCCTTTCCCCTCCCTCCAGCCTGGGCTTTGCTGGGGTCAACAGCAGGAGGAATTAAATTAATCCAGCAGCCCCGAGGTTGATTACAAAGGAGTTAAATTGCAATCGCCCCGTCAGTTGGGGTGTGCTCGTGCATCCCCAGTGTTGTGTCCAGTTCTGGGCTCCCCAGTTCCAGAAGGACAGGGAACTGCTGGAGAGGGGACAGCAGAGGCTACAGAGATGATGAGGGGCCTGGAGCATCTCTCTGCTGAGGAAAGGCTGAGGGACTTGGGGCTTTCTAGTCTGGAGAAGAGAAGGCTGAGGGGGGATCTGATCAACACTTATAAATCCTTAAAATCCTGTCAGGAGGATGGAGCCAGTCTTTTTTCAGTGGTGCCCAGGGACAGGACAAGAGGAAACGGGCACAAACTTGAACAGAAGAAGTTCCGTCTCAACATGAGGAGGAACTTCTTCACTTTGAGGGTGGCAGAGCCCTGGCAGAGGCTGCCCAGAGAGGTGGTGGAGTCTCCTTCTCTGGAGACATTCAACCCCCACCTGGACACGTTCCTGTGGGACCTGCTCTGGGTGGCCCTGCTCTGGCAGGGGGTTGAAGGAGATGATCTCCAGAGGTCCCTTCCAACCCCAGATCATCCTGTGATTCTCTGATCCCTCCACACTGGTTATCCACCCCCAGAACAGCCCCAGTTGTGCTAAATATCTCAGAGCCACACATTTGGAAATGGGGGGCCAGGCCCAAGACTTTGCTCTGGGATGAATAAATCAAAAAAGTTCCCTTAGGAAGGCATTTGGGATGGAATTTGGAATTCTCTCTCCTCTATCCACCGGTACGGGGCGGAGAGACGGAATCCACAAGTGGGTACAAATTGCTCTCAAAGCTTTTCCGCCGTGTTATGGTGCCACAGGACTGGAATGATTTGTCTCCTTGACAGCGAAAGGACGCGCCGGGGAGGGAAATAAATAGATGCTGGATTTAAAATGGCAGCAGATTTTCAGCACGGGGTTGAAAAATCTCTAGCTCTGCCCTGATGGGTTCTGCTCGGCTGCAGCCCCCGGCGGGCAAGACGGCGAGTTTATTCCAAGAAGGAGAGGAGGGAAACTACAACAAGAACAACAAAAAGAGAGGAGAAATACAACCCCCAGGGAGCAAACAGCAACGCAGCCCGGGTGTTTGTGCTGGATGGGCTGAAATGGTGGGTGTTGGGGATTGCAAACTGAAGGTGGGACCATGAAACCATCCCCGAATCGCTCCGGAGGAAAATGATGCTGGTGCAGGGTTTGGGGAGCTCAGTTTATTTATTTTTTGCAAACTGGGTTCTTTTTCGGTGTTTTTGATGGGATAAATTTGGGGCACTCCTGGTAGAAAAGGTGACCTGAGGAGCCAGGAGGTTATTTCCAGCTGGAAAAGGTAGAAGGGGAAGAGGATGCGACGCAGGAACAGACTCATCCCCTCGCTCAGAGGAGCCAAATCACGGATTTTTCCCCTCGTTTTCTGTAGCAATTGGGTGCTGCTCACTAAAAGAATCGAACTTTGAAACTTCCAGTTTGGTTTTCTTCCAGCAGAGCTCTGTCCCTGTCTCGCCTCGGGGGGGTGGGTTGTCACAGGGAGAAGCTGTCACAGAGCGGTGGCTCGGTGCCTGGCGGAGATATTCCCCATCCAAGCCTTGGCTTTTTAAGTATGAAAAAAAGGATTCTTTTTTCTTTTTTTTTTTTAAACTCTTCCCACATAGAATCATAGAATGGTTAGAGTTGGAAGGGACCTTGAAGATCATTGAATTTCAACCCCCCTGCCCTGGGCAGGGACACCTCCCACTGCACCAGGTTGCTCAAAGCCCCCTCCAACCCTTGAATCCCACATGATGTAGGAAACCAGCACCTCCCTGGTGGGTCTCCCCCATCTCCTCATGCTCAAACCTGGGGTGAGGACACCCCAAAGTTTGCTCTTTCTCTTCCTAACACACATCTGCCCTTGGGATGGGCATTACCTGGCTTGCAGGGGGGGATAAAACCCCACGATGGGCTCTTAAAAAGTCCTCCAATCCTTCTGGAGGCTCCTTTTACCGTATGACACTGGGCATCACCGGGGCTGAGCGTGTCCCATCGATGCCACCAGCATCTTCCACCCTGTGGGAGAAACGTGCATGGAAAAATGTTTTCTTTCATGTGGTTTTCACAAGAACCTCCCCCCAAAAAACCAGCTTGTCCAAGGAGTGAGAAACCAAAGCAAGCAGCGCAGGGAAAATAACCCCAGGACACCCCCGTCCTGATTGATTGCCCAGGGGATGTGTTTGACCAGGAATCTTCACAAAAAGCATCATGAGTTGGCAACGTGCGCTGGCAGCCCAGAAACCCCCCCCATCCTGGGCTGCATCCCCAGCAGCGTGGCCAGCAGGGCCGGGGTGGGGGATTCTGCCCCCTGCTCCGCTCTGGGGAGACACCTCCCACCCAGTGCTGCCTCCAGCTCTGGGGCCACCAACAGCAGAAGGACATGGAGCTGTTGGAGCGGGGCCAGAGGAGGCCACCATGGAGATGCTAGGAGGGCTGGAGCCCCTCTGCTGGGAGGGGGGGTTGAGAGAGTTGGGGGGGGTTCAGCCTGGAGAAGAGAAGGCTCGAGGAGACCTTGGAGCCCCTTCCAGTCCCTCAAGGTGCTCCAGGAGAGATGGGGAGGGACTCTTGGTGAGGGAGGGGAGCCCTAGGAGGAGGGGGAAGGGTTTGACCCTGAAAGAGGGGAGATGGAGCTGAGATGTGGGGAAGAACTTGTTTGGTGTGAGGGTGGTGAGAGCCTGGCCCAGGTTGCCCCAAGAAGCTGTGGCTGCCCCATCCCTGGAGGGGTTCAAGGGCAGGTTGGAGGGGGCTTGGAGCAACCTGGTCTGGTGGGAGGTGTCCCTGCCCAGGGCAGGGGGTGGGACTGGATTATCTTTAAGGTCCTTTCCAACCCAAACCATTCCATAATTCTATGAAACAGCAAAGTGTGGTGTGAGGGACTGACAAGGCAACCCCTGTTGGCGTCAGTCCCGGGGTGAGGACTCACAGGAATTCAATTCTCCATCTCCCAGACACCCACACTTTCCCCAAATGCTCCTTTCCTGCCCTAAACCCGGGGCTCTGAGCTGTGGTGACCCTTTTTGCACCCACCTCACTGCCCCGTGCGCCGGTGAGAGCTGCTAGTCCCTCCTAAAAGGTTTCATGCCCGTTTTTCACCCCGGGTTCCTGAAACCTGAAGAATCAAAGTGCTCGTTTGGGGTCCCAGAGAAAGGCCCGTTCCCCCTCCTGGGGCGGGGGGGGGGCAGCAGCCTCCTTCCCCAGATATCGAGGGGGCCTGGGACGCGGGGTAAAGGGTTTTTGGTGGGGAAGGGGCCGGTTCGGGCTGTGAGGAGAAGGGATGGGGCAAGGCCAGGCCGCGCAGGAGGCTGAGGAGAAGGCGGAGGGGGGAGAAACAAGGCCCGGCCCCGCCATTCTCCCCTCCTCTCCGCAGGCTGCTGTAGGCCCGTGGCCCCGCGGCCGCCGGGAGGCTCCCGGAGCTGGAGCCGAGCCCCGGGGGTCCGGCGGAGCCCCCGGTTGTAGGGCCATGGGGGGTATCCCCGCCGCGGCCCACGTCCTCCCCTCAGCCAGCGCGGACTACAATTCCCATTACACCCCGCGGAACTACATCTCCCGTCGTGCCTTGCGCGCGCCCCCGCCTACCCGCACTACAGCTCCCAGCAGGCAGCGCGCCGGCACTACACCTCCCATCCTGCCCCGCGCCGGCGCCCGGGGCCCCCCGTATCCCTCTCCGCCCTCCTTCGAGACTACATTACCCAGCGTGCTTCGCGCGGCCCGCCCGGCATCTGACCGCGGCGGCGGTGCGCGGTGCCTACCGGGAGCGGTAGTCCCGGCGGCGGCTGTAACGGTCCCGCTGGTGGTACTCCCTCCTTCCACCCCTCCGCCCGC